TTTTCTTGCTTGAGCACGACCTCTTTCTACAACTTACTGACCATCATAAAAGGTTCTTACTACTATCCACAAAATCGAGCAAAGCGAAGCGAAGGGGTGGGGTGGTAGCGGATACGAACTGGGAGTAAATAGCAACCTAAAAATTTCCGAAACCCAATACGACGTAGTCCGCAGTGTAAAAAATGGATAATTGTGCCCTGCTTCGAGCAGCTCTCAGACTGGCAGTAGGGCACTAGACCTTCCTCTGCTTCCAGCTTTGTGACCCTCCTCTGAAAAAATTTTTCGCCATCAGGTGCTACTCGTATGGGGGGAGCTTCGATTGTTCAAGGTGCCTACAGCGATTGTTGCTGCGGATAATTCTGAGGTTAAAATAGCCTAAAGTCGACCATTTGGTTCCGTATTGGCAGTGTGGAATAGAAATATCTAGTAGTTAGTTAGTAAAATAAATAGTTAAATGTCAACCAGCCAATGCAGATTCTTCTTCAGAATACTTCAAGAAGAAATGAGGCTCATGGCGTATTCTGTGAAAGTGCTGGACTTGCCAAGCACTCGAAGGCTACTGGGAAAAAGACTCCTCAGCTTGAGTTTTACGACAGTAGGCTACAAAATGCTGCTATTCTCTTGCAGGTCCTTCCTTTATCGCTTCTCGGCATAGCCCTACAAGCTCGGATTTTAACTGGTTGCACGCGGCTAGGAGCTGGCCAATGACCCCCAAGAGTTCCCATAAATAGACCGTTCTTGGTAATCTTGGAGATCTTTGACTTCTTGGCGTGGTCATAAAGCCGTTCAACATGCCGGTCATGGTCCTCGTCGGTGTTGTAGATAATTTTCCCACAGCTCAATGAGAGAGGCAGTAGTCCCAATTGGTGGTGGGCTTGGGACTTCCGCTTCTTGAACTTTGCGGCTCTCTCTCCTCGCATCGAAAAGCGGAATCTTGCGCGAAGGAGGTGGTGGTCCGATAGAACTTAAAGGCAGCGTCCACGTTCATTTGATGTTCCCGCGCCCTCTCTGGATATCACAACCCTCCCAGTATGTACTAGTTTTGCATCTCAAAAAGGCGAGAGGATAGCGCCGTTCGCTAGTGAAGAGTCGGCCGCCCCGCCCACCTGGCCAGCATAGGGTTCTATATAGGGCATTTTCCATGATTTTTCTGCTTTTTTCTTCACTACTGGATCACGTATTATATGAGCTCCATAACTCATTATTCTTGAAAGCGGGCTCAGCCTTTAAAGGCTAAGCCAAAGCAGTTATGGCAGCCAGGTGGGCGGGGCGGCATCCTCTTCACAAGCGGGTGGCGCCATCCTCTCCTTTTTGAGATGCGAAACTAGTACGTCCTGCATCCTTGTCGGGAGGACTACGATATCCAGAGAGGGGCGAAGGAAACATCAATGAACGTGGCGCTGCATTTGAAAAGCAACAGCGGAAGCTCGTGCGGCGAGAACTTCGTATCAAGACACGAGTCTGTATGAATTCGGGAGTACGCAGTCCGGCGGGCGAGTACATTCCACATTAGCCTTATGGGCGGAGCCAAACGTACCAGTGCGCTTCCATTCTTCGTTCACCATCCTTTCCGTGATATCAAAAAAAGAGAGAGGCACTGCGGAAAAAAGTGATGGGCATAGCTGAGCATTTGTCCCTACACAACGAGGGTGAAATGTGCTTCAAAAGAGCAACCTAAAGACTCCACTTTAAAAGAATGTTTTGGGCGTTGACTGGTCTTCGCTCGAAATCTGCAGCCTCGATTTCGAAATCACCAACTTCAAAAAAAGAAGCTATTTCAAAGAACAATATGGCTCTGCATCCTTCCTTCCTTTTTCTTTGCAGCGGCCCCCCCCGACCACCCTGCCCACCAAAAAAAGAATTCAACGTCTGTCAGCTCCCTCGACGCTCTTCGTCGTCTTATTGCAAGCACCCTATTATCACTGGAGAATTTGCTGAGAGGTAATTTGGCAACTAAATTGTAGCTCGTGTATAGCAATCTCATTAAGCTCCCCTCCCGCTAGTGCTCGGCACAGTCGAGACGATGGGGGGGGGCATTTTGCACTTCCTTACCATCCACGTGCCACATAGAGTGAGACTTGTAAACAGGAACTAGTAGAGCAACGAAAGTGGAAAATGCCCCCCCCCTCCCGTCACGAACTGCGCTCTGGTGCTTTGTTAGAAAAGCAGACAGTGGGAGACCGCACTAAAAGTCTGACTAGTTCGGCTAGGTGGTGGCTCCAATGGAACCAGCGAAGATTGTATAAGTCACCTCGTGAAGACCTGTAGATTTCCTGCACCTAAACGCGCTCCACTTCCATTTCGCACGGCTTTAAAGATGGGCACCTGGGCTTTGGGGGGGGGGGGGAAAAGCATTCTGCATATTTGCTACTTCCATCGGAGTTTGTCGAGCCATCGAGTTGGGGCACAACCCGCGTGGGAATTTTGGCGAGGCCAGGAAGTGATATCAGGCAGCGTTTGTGGAGACCCACATTGTCAGGCCCTTGTAAGAGGTATCCGTGGGTCAGCTCTTGTAAACTCAATGGAACGATAACGTCGATTGGAAAGTAGGCTGATAGGTACGAAGGCAGCTCTACCCCTTACCCAAGCAAAAACAGAGCTTAGTTCGCGAATCCTCCGGCTGGCTTTGGAGATTGAATTTGCATGAGAGAACAAAGAATAAAGTCTTCGCCCCCGCTGATCATCGCTTTGTGGGATGCGGCGCGCACATTCTGGCTTACTTCAGAAGCCATAGGAGCTTCTTTAAGGTGGCGAGTGGCCCTGTACAAGTGATTGCGGCGGGGCCAGCCGCAGCAGAGGGTCAGTGTCGATGATCCTCCCAGACGATTCTGGTACCAGTTTTACGTTCCCGGGAGGGAAAAGGGTAGAAGGCTTGGTTGGCCTCGGCGGGAGTCGGCCCGGGATTTGGGCTTAGAGGTGAGCGAAGTGGTAAGCCACTTGTCACTACTCCACCTCTGCCTAGGAGAAGTGCATATGGAATCTCAGATTTGAATTGTCCGGCTCAGTTATTACGGTTGCAACAGCTGAAGACGTCAAGGTCGCCGTTGCAAGAAAAACGCTGAACAAGAGAGTCGAACTGGCTTTGATCCGCTAATGATGTCGTGTTTTTTCTAGATGTGCTACATGAGATTCGCTAGGTGGCGAAATGCGAATCGGCCGCCGCTTAGAAAAAACGTTACGACGACAAAGCGGCGGAAAGATTTCGAAAAAACCGCGACGACAACGGCTCAAAGATGCGATTTCTGATTAGTCTGACCACGGTCGGTTATTAGCAAACAGAGGTCGTGACGATTTGAATAGGAAAAGTTCATGTTTTGGAAGTTGAAGGCTGAACGGTTTCCTTGGCATTGTCGGTTCTTCATGCAGTTCAACTCGTTTTTCAATTGTGGGTTGGAAAAAGCGGTCGTTCTGAGGGAGTGGCCATCTCCAACTGGCAATCGTAGATGACAGTAAGAAGTTTTTCGAAGCGGTTTCATTCTTTGAAGTGGTCTTTTCGAGGTCGATCAAGGCGAGATTTCGCGCAAAGGTACCGTCTACGATAACTACTCCCACACCGCTGAATTACTGTATTTGCGATGGAACTGAAAGATTGCCGAAAACGTAGCGATGGACTTGGCGATTTCATGCCAAAATGAATCTTGCACTCATGAATTGCAAATCAATATTCCCTGTCATGGTTGGGAGTACATCTGATGTTCAGTCAGGGTCAAACCTGACCTAAAGAGATTTCACCCAATGTCGTAGCTTGCCTTAGACGGAAGATTCTCTTATCAATGAGGAAGTCTTGAGGTGTAGGAAATAAGGGTGTTTGTACGGTTCTCCCTAGTTTTCTGGTGCGGCAAGACCACTAGGCTACCGAGGGTTTACGGCAGCTTATTGAGAGAAACTAGGTACGTTTCGTCAAAATAGTTAGGGATTCGGAAGGGCTCGGTAGAGTGATAGGTCCGACCAACGTGCTTGAGTTCCGCGGGCGCGATGTTCCTACGTATAGAAGTAGTTTCAGGGATATTCCAAACCCTGAAACTTTCCCATGCTCCATGTGACGTGTATCTGTTGCGACGAAACGCTCTGATCGAAGTTCGTCACCCTTAAGGATCCCCAAAGAAGGGGTTGCTGTAGTGAGGGGAATCGTTTCGAGAAGAATCCCGACGCCCGACGGAGTTTTCTCTGGAAAAAAATTCCAGAAAGTGATAGGAAGTTGCAAGGTAGGATGAGGAATAGGGAGAAGGATGGGGGCGGGGAGGGGGCGAGGAAGCCGTAACAAAGGAGGAAGTATTCTCAGTGGCGGGTTTATCTTCGCAAACATATTTCGTGCACAAGCCATGGGACGTGACGTGACTCTGATCTTTGCGCTTCCACGGCAGGTGGGTGGTTAAGGTGACAACTAAAACTTTTGGTGGGGGTCTGTCCACGATGTTAGGCCAGAGCGCAGAGCAATTGAGGGGTCATCGTGAGGTGCAAAAAATACGATGCGAGCCAGGAGACGAACTTTTCCGAGGAGAGGGGACACCGGGTGGATGAGCCACTTAGTATGCGTGAAGGAAGTTGCGATAATGATATAATGGCTGTTGGTCAAGTGGGCCATAAAATCGCACGGGCAGGGAGAGAGCGCAGATTGAGAAAAAACAGAAAGTTGCTCTTGTGGGCATTTAAAGGTTAAGTTCTTGGTTGTCCGTAGACCCTTCGCGAGGATTTGGCTTCTTGCCTCACCCCTCCTTTGGTTTTTCAGTTGATTCCTCAAAATCATTTCATGTGCTTCATTAATAACAGCAAGCAAAATACAAAGTGTAATAAATGAATTAGGTGACTAGTACCAACAATTCAGATACATTCTAGCCTCTACTTCTGAAAAATCAAAGGAAATATACAGCCATCGTTTCATGGAACGTCTATTATTTAGCTACCACTACTTATTTACAATTTAGTTTTTCTTCAAATATTAGAGCTAAGAGTTTTTCATCAACGTTTCCGTGACTGCAGCTCGGTCTTGGAGTCCTGGTTCAAACGGTCCCAAGCAGAGAATTGCCAACGTCGTTGGTGTCAGTGGAATGAAAATACTGCTTCCAAAGGTTCACAAACGTATCGTAGTCGATGGCGTTGAACAGGCTACCGGAAGGAGTCTACAAAATTATTGGGAATACAGTAAAGTATCCATCACACTGTGCCTTTGGAGAGGATACTCTCTAGCGAAAGGTAGTCACATCATGCTGTTTCGGTGAGATGGTGCAGACGAGCAGACATGACGTATACTCGAAATCCCTGAGAGCGGCTAGGCGGGGCTGCACATTTAACTTTAAAGTGGGTGCGGCCCAGGTTTTCGTGAGATATTTTCATTTTGGAACAGTCGTAATCATGTCTACATTTAACACAGAACAAGGTGGCAGTTGTTTGAAATTGAAATATCCCACGAGTAACCCGTTTTATGCCATGCTCAGAAGCCACGCCTACTCCGTCTCAGGGACAAGGAGTATAACTGAGCCAGCTCGCGCTGGAGAATGACCTCTCTCAAAGCCTTGACTCTCGGTTGCAAAGCGAACTATCGCAAAACGAACAGCACTAGCGAATTTATCGAAACCCGCGCTCGCGCCTCTCGTTGGTAAATGGTTTTGCAAAGTAGCCAGGAACTTCAATGTATTTTCAGCCAGATCAACCAGCTTATCTCCTGAAAATAGCTTGTGGTTCCCATTTGGGAGAATTCACCCATGGTCATACCGGAGGCGTCAAATAGACGGAACATGTAGTCGAGATAAGCCTTTTGCCATGCTGGTTCCTTCTCGTCCTTCAACGATTCGGCCCACATACCGATCCAATCTAGGA